CCCCAAAACCCCAAAACCCCAAAACCCCAAAACCCCAAATAAATTAGAATTTATTGATAATTATTATTCGAGAATTAATATGGAAAACCTCCATACTGACCCACAAGATCCTTTATATGACCATGAAGAACAAAGGAAGAAGAAGCAAGAGTTCATTCAGAAGGAAATCCTTGATAAACGGTATGACCGGATTGATTTTGCCTCGTATATGTATGAATGCAAGGAAGACGGCACTAATATTGACAACTGGAAGCTTGAAGAGTTGATGGATATTGTACAGGATTTTAAGGACATACATAAACCTTTACCCCTTGAAGATGAGAATCCTCAACCTGATCCTAGCACTGAAGATCATGCTCCTTCGGAGGTTGGCGAGGTAGAACCAGTTATTGAGCAAACAAGGAAAGAAATTAGCGAGCTCTCATACTTTAAAAAGAGCGAACTGAAAGTAAAAGTGTTTGATGGTTTGATCAAGAAGGGAGGATTTCTTCAGTTTTCTTTCACCTCCTTCAAGGTCACACTAGATCCTTTAGAATATTTTGTCAGGAGGAGAGAGGAAGATTTCCAGACATTGCGTAAATACCTTGTCAAGATGTATCCATCACAATTCATTCCTCCATTAATAATCCCCTCATGCAGGAAGAAGGAAGATGAAGTTTTGAAGAAGGAGAAGTTTTTCACTAAATTCTTGACAAATGTTATAAGAAATAGGTAATTACTAACAGTATCCTGAGACTAATAGCCGTATAGAAACCTCAGAGGCTGAATGTTTCTTCAAGAGTTCCTTACTATCAGAGATGAAAAGGAATTTAAAGCTCAGAAAAGGTTACGAGAAAAGGAAAAGGAACCAACTCTTCTCTCCGAACAGCCCACAGCAACTGGAGAGGTTGATGCTTCTGGTTATAAAGATGTCTGGAAGTTCTCCTACAAAATGCCTGAGTTCATCAACAACTACACTGCAATTAATAAGAACATTCAGGATGCCACTTTAGCCTTCGCTGCGAAGGCTACTGAATTGGCTGACATCGTCTACGACCTTAGCAAGTATTACGAAGTCCTTGGATCAATCTACAACAATATGGAGGTCAAGAATATGTACCAGATTCACAAGTTCATGAGCGATGTCATGACATGTTGGGGAGACACTTACATGGAACAAAGTGTTTTAATGGAAGAAAAATTCTCCAAGTTCTTTTCCTACCATTATCACGAAGATGTTCCTATGCGAGAAATGATCAAAACAAGGTTCAACCTTAAGGAAGATTACGCCAGAGCCGAGATCAGGTTGACTGAGAAGAAAGAAAGGCTGGTCAAATCTCAGGACTTTGAGAAATGGCAACTTGATAGTACTGGAATGGCCAAAATAGCTAGGCTTAAGAATAATGAGGAAATGGCCAAGAAGTTTATGCTACCACAAGAGAGTAAAATTGTTGAACAGAAAAGGTAGGTTTTCAGTGAAAATTCCAAATTCGATGTTTTATTAAAAATTATGGCAAATTTGGATATTTTTGCAACTTACAAAAGATTTTAATTCTCTATAGGAACTTGCTGCAATACTTCAGCAACCAAGTGAAGGATCAAACAACAGATATGTTAGATAATAACTACACTGACCTTTGAATGCACCTTATCGACTATGCCTGTGACCAGAAAAAAATATATTCAAAAGCTATCGATAACTGGAATGGACTGTTCGAGTACTTCAATGGGCTAGACCTGAGCATTTACGACGATGAAGCTGAACCAAAAGAGAGTGCAAAACAAGAGGATCAAGAAGAAAAACAAGTTAATCCTTCGATAAAGAATGGCACCTCTGCTAAACCAAAGGAAAATCAAGAAGAGAAAAAGCAAGAGTCTTCTATCAATCAGGACAATAATAAGGAAGATGATCACGAAGAGGTTGATAAAGGAAAGATTGATGGTAAAAATAATGGTTCTTCCAAAAATAGCCCTGATCTTATTAAGCCTAAATCAGATAAAGAAGCTGAGTCCAAGAAAAGCGATGAAGATGACAAAATAGAGGATCAATACGATATGATTAATCCGTTTGATGAATAAATCTGTCTAATAATAGAAGTTAAATATTGTCTCATGTTCTGACTATCAACACCCCTTTATTCCTGAGGCTCCAACATCTGAGCCCAGATAAGGTTCACCTCTGCCATCAGAATATTTTATTCAGAGGAGCAACAAAAAGATTAGAAATCAATATTATGACAAAGGATCGGGGTTTTGGGGTTTTGGGGTTTTGGGGTTTTGGGG